CACAATGTCTTCATAATACGGCCAGACAGAACAATGACCGCTACAGCCATCGTCGCTGACGCCGCTACCACATCAACGCTTTCGGACAAACACACTGTCCCAAATCCTTCATTCGACCTTGGCTTCACATCTAAATAAATTCCTTCAATTTAGACCAGACTGACCTCAAGAACGGAGAATAAATTAATAAATTCCTCCCACACTAGAGTGGAGTCGACTTTAAACACTGGGATCACCGTAGTAGGCAAACTGGTAGGTTATGTTCATTAAGTATTCATGATGGACTCGAGGAACGAGACGAGGCTGGACCAACTGACTTTTGTTCAAGGTCAAGCCTGCGGGCCGGGCGGGGAAGTTGGGGGTAGCGTAACCGGTGGGGGATAAGAGGTTGTGGACCTGTTGGCTGCCTGGGATGTACGTAGGTGGGCAGGCAGGCGGGCAGGCAGGCAGGCAGGCAGGCAGGCAGGCAGGCAGGCAGGCAGGCAGGCAGGCAGGCAGGCAGGCAGGCAGGCAGGCAGGCAGGCAGGCAAGTTGGCAGACAGCAGGGCAATGCGGTTTGTGTTAGATAGTAAAGAAGATAGACCAGCTTGATCGTAAGCGGACAGGGAGATGGACAGACAAAGCTAGCAAGCAGACATATGCAGGTGGACGCGCCTCGACTGGCTACATAAGTCTTGGACACACCAGTGTGGGACACCTCAGTGCCCCTCACCACCTTCCCTAGTCTTCACCAGCTTCTCTACTCTTCACTGTCCCGTCATCGCCGTGATATACACTGTCAACATGAAATAATAAACTACATAAAGCAAGTCAACATTTAATCATAAAAATATATGCTGGATGAATCTTGGTGAGGATGAAGCCTGGTATTAAGCGAGATCGGAAAATATAATCATTTGCCATTTCATGCAAAGGGGAAGCATGGAGATGGACCCTGATCCGCCTATAATCATCTCCGAACAAAAAACCCCAATCGCCTTGAAAAATTTGGTGAGACTAGCCCCAAGCATCTGACCTGCAACTTTAAACACATTCTCTAAAAGGGGTACCCGGCTACACCCGGGTCTCTTTGCCCACATACTACCCCTCCCCTCCCGCACTCGTCCCCTTCTTATTTCTTTTAGTTCCCCCTCATCATCCCCTTTCCCTGTCCTTCCTCACGTCTTCCATCCTCTTCCCTCCATCTCACATCCATCTGCTTTCAGGAAATTAATTATGAACTTTTAAATTAACATACTTAGGTATTATTACGATTTTTTTGTTATTAATACATTAGGTACATCTTCATTTGTGCAGCTACCTTAGACTATATGAAGGGGAGTACAGTGTCAAAAAGCTAACTATGTGATGCTAAAAAAAATCTCCATCACACAGGATGGTTAGTCATACAGATGCGTGTGATAAGTAGTCTGCACTGGCAGACTCTGGGTGCATTATGAGGATATCATGAACACAAGAGTGAAATATGGCAGCAGTGATACTAAAAGTCCCCATCTCGCAGGATGGTTAGTCATACAGGGCCATATGTTCAGCAGCCTGCACTGGCAAATTTTGGGTACACTGAAGGATCGAAAACTGTAAAATAATTCGATGGGAAACACAACCAATATTTCAGTCTTGACTAAGAAAATCGTATAGGAGGGGGGGGGGGGGGTCTTTCTAAATACCGAAATTTCTTAAAACATTTCATTTGGGCTGACCCCAACTGGGCTGTCACACTCCCCTGTCAAAAATATTGGAAAGTTGAGTTAGTCCAGTCCCAAGCATCTGGCTTCCAACCACGGACAGACATTCTATTTTAGAGATATATATATATATAATAATCATTGTGGACGGAGCAAGGAGTAGGTAACGGATGCTTGAGTGCTCTGGTTATTAAGTGTGTGAGAGACGAGGTGTCTCACGCACGCAGTCTTTTCCTCCACAGGTGTTTCCCATATCTTATGGGGTGTTTCCCATATGTGTTTCCCACAGGTGTCTTACAGTTACTTTTTGCGAACAGTAATTTTTTGCGTTTGTGTTCATTCATTAACTAAGCAAATTACTTTACAGTCAGGTTATATTCAGTTCATACTTGTCCCTTCATTCAACCTTTGTCGTGTGTTTTGCCAGTATGTGTGTTAACTAAAATTATTAACTAAGATTTTGTGTGCGTTAAATGGTACATTTTAAGGCTATTTACCTTTTACTGTACCAGTTTTGCATAAACATGAAAACATATAATCTAATTCTAATTATCCCTTACTCTCTCACTCCTTAAGACCTCCCCTTAACCCTTACTCTCGCACCCCGTAAGTCGCCCCCTTAGCCCCCCTAACATCCACCCCGTGAAGGTCCTCCCCCTAAATACCCCCCCCTTAACTCTGGCTCACTGAGCCCACCACGCGCCATTTTCTCTTTTTTCTTTCTAAACACAAAGAGGGGCATTGAACCCCCTTTCCCGTACGTGTCTTGATCCATTTTCTGGCACGTGTTTGATCCCCCCCCTTTCCCACACTGGTGCGTCTCGAACCCTTATCCACGTGTCTTGTCTCTACCTTACACATGTCCTCATCACCTTGGTACACCTCAGTTACAAATACTAAACTTTGAATTGTCTGGCTGGAGAATTCCTAGAAAACTATGAGGTCTTCTAGATGATGTGATGGTTGGTGTGGTGGTCTAGTGGTGGTTGGTGTGGCTAGTGGTGATTGGTGTGGCTAGTGGTGATTGGTGTGGCTAGTGGTGGTAGGTATGGTGGCCCAGTGGTGGTCCAGTGGTGGTTGGTATGGTGGGTGGTGTGGTGGTCCAGTAGTGGGTGGTGTAGTAAGTGGTACTGGCGAAGTATCATGATGGCCCAACCATCCCCCCCACAACATAAGGATAGGAGCGTAAAATGTGTAATTTAGTCTCCTTATCATGGGATCGACAGCCGGCCCACGGGGGCCACGTCGTGCAAGAATCTCACTAATTAGGATCCGTCTAATGACCTGCAGCAGGACCCTGCGTGAGCAATTAACATTCTCGCGTCTCGAGGGGGACCTCTGCGCTCACACTAGACTAGTCTAATAGAAAACATGTCGACAAAAATGAAGCAGCGTCATAGAGTGGAAGAAAATGACAGGGAACAGGAGTGTGTGGTACTTGAGATCCAAAACGGGTCAGTCCTTGAACCTTTCTATATACGTAAAGGGCTATCCTGAAGAGTTTAGATTTCATATGACAATGTTTGCAGATAATGTGAAACTGATAAGAAAGGTAGTAAAGTAAATACCGTCAAACACCACTGGAGAACCTAACAAGCTTCAAGTCAGAGAAATGGCTAATGAGGTTTAATCTCAAAAAGTGTAATCAAACTTGGGAGTGGGGGGCAGGCCAGAAGAACAGTGCATATTAGAGGAAGGCTACAACAGGAACCAGAAGAGAAGGACCCGAGAGTGGACATAATGCAAGGGACAAACTTCAGAGCCACATGTATAGAGAGCAACATTAACACCGAATAATGACGATATCATTATAACCTGAACCACATAGGAAGCTCCAGCGCGGACTTCTCACTCAGTGAACCCTTTAAGACGGATGAAACTGAAAATCAGTAAGAGACCAAGGAACTAATACATCAGAATCGGACTGAATAAGAGAATCAAATAGAGAATGCAATAACAGCCATAACTAAAGACCTGCCTAAATTACTACTCAAGGAGAGAATTAACTTCGCATTAAAGACATAGTATGGATTTAGGGCAGGCAATTCCCCATGATCACGTGGGAAAGGATGGGTAAACTGCATATTCTACAATTATAGGAAAGCCTTCGAAACAGTTTCCAAGCACATGAAACACCGGCTGGGAGAGCGGGCAGGGGAAGCAATAGACTACATGGTTGAGTATCTAACAGGATACTGTGGCACACAAACGGAGGAGTTCCAATAGAGAGATGTAACAAGTGAGACTAAGCTGAGGTCAGAAACCCTTTCCGCCCACCACCATCGTCGCTACGACCATTGTCACTGCCACCATGTCCACCATCACCATTACCACAAAATCACCACTACCACAACGCCTACACCACAATCGATACCACCACCACCACTACATCATCATCATACTCGTTAACATTCAACTACAACATCATTAAAACAGCAACAATATTTACACTTTCAAAGCTCACAAGACTCCAAAAGTTCCAAGACAACGTACTACTTTAAAAAGAAGTCACGAGCTTGTTTTTGTTCATTAAAGGAAAGAGCTCGTGTATGTTGTCTGTGTGTGTGTGTGTGTGTGTGTGTGTGTGTGTGTGTGTGTGTGTGTGTGTGTGTGTGTGTGTGTGAGAGAGAGAGAGAGAGAGAGAGAGGGGGGGGAGAGAGAGAGGGGAGGAGAGAGAGGGGGGGGAGAGAGGGGGAGAGAGAGAGAGAGAGAGGGGGGGGAGGGAGAGAGAGGGGGGGGGAGAGAGAGAGGGAGAGAGGGAGACAGTACGAATACAAGAAGGAGAAGGAGAAGCAGCAGGAGCTACTGGAGATAAAATATTCAACCCTGGTCGAGGATAAAAGGCCAGAGAGTAGCCGCGCTTGCTCTGAGGACGATGCTTCCTGGCCGGCACACTGAGCGACGCACCACACATGCTGTCACTGGGTATCGCGATGTTGCTCCAATTTTTGGCTAAAGATTCTTAGCTCACACAGTCCGTTACATCTACATGAAAGTTTTCTCACACAGTTCGTCACATTTACCTGCTAGTTTTCTCACACATTTCGTCATATTTACATGAGAGTTTTCTCATTCATCCTGCGGTTATTTACATTCCATATGGATTTTGATTAACTATTGCTTACGTGATCAAGTTTCCAGTGTGATTTGTTACATTTTGTAACTTAGAAGTTATTCATTTGATAGCTCCTTCCATCGTAAGGTTACTTGGTTATCTTGAGGTTATCTTGAGATGATTTCGGGGCTTTAGTGTCCCCGCGGCCCGGTCCTCGACCAGGCCTCCACCCCCAGGAAGGCTACTTGGTGGCTCATAACCCAATTATCTTTGCAAAGTGAGGATGCCACCTGTTTTGTCCTTTGTTGTGTTGTGAGGAGTCTTGCAATAAGTGAGAGGAACTGTGCAATAAGTGAGAGGAACTGTGCAATAAGTGAGAGGAACTGTGCAATATATGCAAGGAGCGCTGCAACATGTGTCGCAGACCTCTGTAGCATGTGCAAGGAACCAACCATACAGCATGTGCAAGGAACCAACCATACAGCATGTGCAAGGAACCAACCATACAGCATGTGCAAGGAACCAACCATACAGCATGTGCAAGGAACCAACCATACAGCATGTGCAAGGAACCAACCATACAGCATGTGCAAGGAACCAACCATACAGCATGTGCAAGGAACCAACCATACAGCATGTGCAAGGAACCAACCATACAGCATGTGCAAGGAACCAACCATACAGCATGTGCAAGGAACCAACCATACAGCATGTGCAAGGAACCAACCATACAGCATGTGCAAGGAACCAACCATACAGCATGTGCAAGGAACCAACCATACAGCATGTGCAAGGAACCAACCATACAGCATGTGCAAGGAACCAACCATACAGCATGTGCAAGGAACCAACCATACAGCATGTGCAAGGAACCAACCATACAGCATGTGCAAGGAACCAACCATACAGCATGTGCAAGGAACCAACCATACAGCATGTGCAAGGAACCAACCATACAGCATGTGCAAGGAACCAACCATACAGCATGTGCAAGGAACCAACCATACAGCATGTGCAAGGAACCAACCATACAGCATGTGCAAGGAACCAACCATACAGCATGTGCAAGGAACCAACCATACAGCATGTGCAAGGAACCAACCATACAGCATGTGTGACATGTAATAAAATATATTTCTTAAGACAAATTTACATAAGGAAAAATGCGTATTTTGTTTTCACCGATTTTGTAGAGCCGGAGGAAGAAGGCAAGAAACCTACCCTAATCTCTCCTAGGCCCTTTTATAGTACATTATAGTATCTCTTACCTTAAGGCTAATGCATTAGGCATAGGTTAGGTTCCTGTAATTTTATTTAAGGCTCATTAGAAGATCAATATTACAAAACTTGGACTTGTTGAGTGCCACAGTCTTGCATACATACGACCTCCACTGTCGCTATATGGGTTCTTCAATTAACAGAAAGAGAAAGAGTGTTAGACTTTTCGAAGGCCCCATACGCCAACTTCTGACCTTCCCCAGGATGCGACTCACAATGGTTGCCTAACTCCCGGGTGTCTATTGGCTGCTGGGTGAACAGAGGCATGAGGAGAATTAAAGCTGCAGGACACATGTGTGTGTTGGTGACCATGGGTCGACGCTCTCTTGGTCTCCGACATATGCTCTCGGTGCTCCCACTCGGGCTATGCTCATGGGACAAGAAGTGTTTAGATGATGCTAAAAATGCTCTCCCCACAAGTTACCCGCCGACCGTATGCTCAAGGAGGTTACGGAGGAAATGCTCCGTCATCCATTCCCGCCCCCCCCCCCCGCTTCCTCCAGCCTGCCCTCAGGTGCCGGAAACTGCCTGCCATCCTCTGTCTCCACCTAACCTGCCTTCTACTCTAAACTGACTCGAGAATTCTCACCACTTACCCCACCTCTCCCTCTCCATCCCTTCTTCCCTCTGTCCTGACACACTCGGTACTTGTAGGGAAGAGGGGACGAGGGGGGCCTATGCTCCCACGCCACCCAAAACAACACCCACGCCACCCAAAACAACACCCACGCCACCCCCCACAACACCCACGCCACCCCCCACAACACCCACGCCACCCCCACAACACACCCACGCCACCCCCACGCCACCCCACAACACCCACGCCACCCCCACGCCACCCCCACGCCACCCCACAACACCCACGCCACCCCCACAACACACCCACGCCACCCCCACAACATTCACGCCACCCCACAACACCCACGCCACCCCCACAACACACCCACGCCACCCCCACAACACACCCACGCCACCCCCACAACACCCACACCAACACCTACCTCATTAAACAGTACCCGCTACAGCTACTCCCAAAACACCCCACAACACCGCTCCACACAGTGTTTGCTCGATAACTGGGCCAACATTATGAAGGTTACACTCCTGGTTATAAGGGCCGGTTGTAGCTCCCAGTCACAGGTGGCATTCCTGTGGCTCATCCCTGTCTGTCTGACTCAGAGTCGCTTCCTGAAAGGTACTCCTCGTGTGTGTGTGTGTGTGTGTGTGTGTGTGTGTGTGTGTGTGTGTGTGTGTGTGTGTGTGTGTGTGTGTGTGTGTGTGTGTGTGTGTGTGTGTGTGTGTGGGGTGGGGGGTGGGTTGTTTGGGTGGGGGGAGGGGGCTTGCGTGATACAGCAGAGTCGACGGTCAAGGAAGGGGGAGGGGGGCCGGAGGAACGCCGAGGGGGGAGGGGGGGGGGGAGGCAAGCACTACCAAGCACATCATCAAGTACCTAAAAGTACCACCATTGCCTCGTCCACTACCACCTCCCCCCCCCCCCTCATCACCACTACCATCGCTACCTCCCACCATCACCACACGTATGGCATGAAGATAGTGGTGATAGTGATTGCTGTATCAGAGGTCATTAAAAACTAACTTCCAGCACAACGCTCACCACCATCACACTACTCCAGGTGTGTGCTACTCCAGTGTACATGGAGTGGAGTATACACACTGGAGTGTGTATGGAGTGTGCTACTCCACCATCACACACACACACAGCTGGTACTACTCCACCGTCTTCAGAGGCGCGTCACCCTCCGTAAGCCTCCACATCCCTCTCTGTTCACACACGGCGTGACATCAGCTCTTCCTATCTAGCACTCACGTGTAATACCTGTTATTTGCTGCATTATCAACCACTCAGGAGAGTGCAAGATGGTTCCCGTGAGAAAATCACTCGTCCAGCCTCCAGAGTTAAGATCATTCGTATAGCCTCCTGAGTTTAACAATTGGAAGATTCACTCAAGTCTTCGAGTGCTGGCAGTGTCAGGTGTCCAAGAAGATCCTCAATGTTTACAAGGAACAACGCTGGTACGGGCGACAGGTTAGTAATCTGAGCGGTGAGTGGGTGGGTGGTGGGCGGATAGTGGGTGGGTGATGGGCGGATAGTGGGTGGGTGGTGGGCGGATGGTGGGCGGGTGGTGGGCGGGTGCTGGGTGGTGGGCGGGTGCTGGGTGATGGGCGGGTGATGGGCGGGTGATGGGCGGGTGGTGGGCGGGTGGTAGACGGGTGCTGATATTAATAAAGTCCTCGATTGGGCATCGGAAAATAAAATACTGTTTAACAATGATAAATTCCAAATTTCTAGATATGGGAACAATGAAAAAATAAAGGAAATACAAGATACAATACACAATCAGATCTGCTCACAGTGGGGAAAATCATATAAAGGATGTGGGATAAATTATGTCAGATGGCTTAACATTTACTGAACATAATACAACAAATATATCGTCAGTCAGAAAAAGAATAAGTATTAAAAGCAAATTTGCACAGTAAAATATCATCTAACTGGAGCGAACGATATGGTAAGAAATGCAGAATGGAACCAGTGAAGAGAAGAGGTGCCATAGGCACAATACAGAAGGCTGCATGCACATCAGAGGTCTACGGCTGTTCAATATCCCAGCAAGTATAACAAACATTGCCGGAGCACAAGTAGAATTTTTAAATAAAAAAGATTTACAGTTTCCTGACAGTACAGGACCAACGGGGTTGTAGTGGATAGGTGAGTTTGCGGGCCGCTCCAAGCAACAGTCTGTGGCATCTAGCAATTATTAGTCAAACCTGGCTCCTGGCTGCGCTTAGGGAGTAGAAGAACTTACAGGATCCATTCCAGGTAAAATCCAGGCAAGTTGTTGGGTAGAGGGCGGGTGTTATACACTGCCACATCCAGAAGGGGGATGGGGGGGGGGGGAAAAAAAAAAGAGAGAGAGAGAGAGAGAGAGAGAGAGAGAGAGAGAGAGAGAGAGAGAGAGAGAGAGAGAGAGAGAGAGAGAGAGAGAGAGAGAGAGAGAGAGAGAGAAGAGAGAGAGAGAGAGAGAGAGAGAGGAGAGAGAGAGAGAGAGAGAGAGAGAGAGAGAGAGAGAGAGAGAGAGAGAGAGAGAGAGAGAGAGAGAGAGAGAGAGAGAGAGAGAGAGAGAGAGAGAGAGAGAGAGAGAGAGAGAGAGAGAGAGAGAGAGAGAGAGAGAGAGAGAGAGAGAGGAGAGAGAGAGAGAGAAGAGAGAGAGAGAGAGAGAGAGAGAGAGAGAGAGAGAGAGAGAGAGAGAGAGAGAGAGAGAGAGAGAGAGAGAGAGAGAGAGAGAGAGAGAGAGAGGAGAGAGAGAGAGAGAGAGAGAGAGAGAGAGAGAGAGAGAGAGAGAGAGAGAGAGGATAGAGAGAGAGGGGAGAGAGAGAGAGAGAGAGAGAGAGAGAGAGAGAGAGAGAGAGAGAGAGAGAGAGAGAGAGAGAGAGAGAGGAGATATGACAGGTTGAGGTAACCTGGCGTGGTTGTACAACCGTACTCACCTGGTCCCGCTAGACTACTTGCTGCTTAAACCCGTTCCTCCCCTCCCTCGCTAGCTCCACTTCACGTACTCTTCTCTCCTTCCCTCTCTCTCCATTCTATCATCCCTCACACACTCTCCATCCCTCTCCCTCCCATTGTCCTCCCAGTCTCCTGGGAGAGACCAGGGAGAGAGCGGGAGGAAGAACCGACACAGACGATCTTGCTAAAGCCATTTCCAGAGGGCACTGTACCCTCCCATGGTCAGCACAGCAGCCTCCCATCTACCCATGCTCAGACCACCACCCTCCAATGCTCAACATATCATCCTCCCATGCTCAGCACACCGCCCTCCCACGTTCAGCCTCTAATAGTCCCATGCTACATCCATATATTAGCGTCAGTCACTGGAGGATGCTGTTGTCTGGAAGTTGTCAAAGGCTTTCAAAGGAGCTGGAAGGTGCGATGCTGAGACTTGGCGCGAGCGAGAGATGCTGCGCTCCAGTTCCAGGTGTTTTTTCCAGGAATAGCGTCCGTTGGCTAGCAGTTTTGCGTGTCACTGTTAAGTGTTGAGTTTGTGTTGTGTGCGCGTGTGTGTGTGTGTGTTGTCTTGACCTACCTGAGACAGAGACCTCCATGGTGGCTAGGATGGGCACGTTGGTGTTGAGAGAAGGAGAGAGAAGGATCTCTCCGGAGTCCTTGTTGATGTCCACCAAGCCAGCCTTGTTCCCACTGATGATCCGGTACGTCAGCTGAAACACACGAGGAACGATGTTTAGTGCCTTCGTCTCTATGCACTCAAACCACACACTCACACCTCCCTCTCAGACTACATACACTCACAGACGCACGCACGCACGTACACACACAAACACCCACACACATACCACAATACACTTACCACACAACAACAACACACACTAATCACAACACACCTTCATATAACCAACAACACATTCAACCACATCAATACAATTTCCATAAAACCGGTTAATACAGCTGTATAAGGCCTCCGTCCTATCTGTCAGTCACACGTCACCACTAATCACCTCGACGCTTGTAACATTCAGTTATTAGTAAATACACATGGCCGCATAAGGGGACATAATCAGCGTTGCCACACATGGCACATAATCAACATAGCAAAACATGGGGCATACTCAACATGGCCACACATGGGGACGTAATCAACATGGCATCACACGGCTCATCATCAGGGCCACACATGGGTCAAGGCTGGTTACACACGGGACATAAACAACATGGCCACACATGGAACCTTAGCAACATAGCCACACACATGGAATCTTAGCAACATGGCCACTCACATGGAATCTTAGCAACATGGCCACTCACATGGAACCTTAGCAACATAGCCACACACATGGAACCTTAGCAACATAGCCACTCACATGGAACCTTAGCAACATAGCCACTCACATGGAACCTTAGCAACATAGCCACACACATGGAATCTTAGCAACATGGCCACTCACATGGAATCTTAGCAACATGGCCACTCACATGGAACCTTAGCAACATAGCCACACACATGGAACCTTAGCAACATAGCCACTCACATGGAACCTTAGCAACATGGCCACACATGACACATTATCATGGCCACACACGAGACCTTAAAAACCAGTTGCAGTTAATATCCATCAGTTTGACAGTTGATGATCCATCAGACGCAGTGTGGCGGGGAATGTTGCCAGGTGTGTGGCGTCTGTTTGCTTATTGATTGTAAGCAAAATGGAACCCAGCCTCAAAGCATGACCAATCAACTTACTCGTATTAGATATATGTCATTATTTAAGATTGGGGAGGGGGGAAGCTGGCCTGCTATTGGCGGGGGAGTTGTCGAGATCTTGGCGGTGATTGGTAGCTTCATGTCAGTCTTCCCCTCCCTACATCACATCAGGAATCACATGCTTCACCTCTTCCCTCTTCTCCCCGCCCTTTCCCCTCTTCGTAGTCTCTCTCCCCTCTTCTCCCCCCTTTTTGTCAGTTCTTCTCTCCTCGTGTCTCTGTCTTTCTCCTCTTTTACCTGCGTCTTCCCTCTCCTTCCTGGTCCCTCCACTGCCGTACTCTGCTTCCGTATTCCCCTCACACTCTCTCCCCTCTACGCTCTCAGCCTCACTCTTCCCAGTCTCAGTCTCCCCCTCACCATCTCATTAGTCTTACCCATTGTTCTTCACCTCTCTCTTTATCCAGTGGTATTAGTAGTGGTTGGTTGTAGTGTTATGTTAAAGGTTATAATGGGTGTGGATATTGTGATTACATATGTGATGGTGAGTGTTATTGTTGTTGTTATTGGTGGTGGTGGTGGTGGCGCCTCCGGTGCGGTACTCCATCCACCACTAGCGTGGTCTGCATCGCTAACTACCCTACAGCCTCGTTGAAACAATCAATACGGGTACTCTTCCCCCCGCACGTCCTCCTCTCCACCTGTGTGAGCGAGTGATAGCAAGGGGCGGGAAGAAAGGCCTGACCATCTACGAACCCAGTACCGCTGGAAATAACATATACATGCAAGCACTCCTGATCTCACATTCCAGTTCCTGCATCAGACTTGCCAACCAACAGAATTGAGCTCTAGAAACAGAATCATAACACATTTAAACATCCTTTACTATGCAGCCTAACTAAACAAGCGTCACTCTTATGACAACCTAAATCAAACGTACTAGCCTGGGGGGTGCTAGAGTGAGTGCCAGGTGGTGCTTGAGTGCCTGGGGGGTGCTTGAGCTACCTCATCCCTTTGTGTATTTATACATCAATAAATTTATTTCAGTTTAAACGTCGGATCTGAGCAACAACGAAGGCCGGATGTTTTCAAAGTCCTACTTTGGTAACACCTTGATGTTCAGACCTTTCCATGGGGAGTAGGGGAATGAGCACCCTCTACTGGGGGAATGAACACCCACCCCCTCTCATTGGGGGAATGAGCACCCCTTACTGAGGGAATGAACACCAACATCCCTCATTGGGGGAATGAGCACCCCTCACTAGGGGAAAGGAGCACCCCTCACAGGGAAAAAAAAGCATCCCTAACTGGGGGGAATGAACCCAAAGGCGACAGTGCCTGGCAATCAGGAACAGTCCAGTCTAGGGAGGGGATCTCTGTGTGTGAACCAGATGTATGTGTGTGTGTGTGTGTGTGTGTGTGTGTGTGTGTGTGTGTGTGTGTGTGTGTGTGTGTGTACTCGCCTATTTGTGCTTGCAGGATCTTGCTGTAGCTCTTGGGCCCCGCTTTTTTAGTCCCTAGTTATTTAATGTAATGACTCCTGACCTATTTCCCAATCATACCTGCTTTTAAAGTTATGAATTGAGTTTGCCCCAACAACCTGTTCCTTTAGATCACTCACTGTGCGTGCGTGCGTGCGCGCGCACGAGGCCATTCCAAGGCGACTCACTAAAGGCTTCTGTATCAGGCACAGTGGGAGGTCTCTTTCCCCACACCTGACAACCCTTCCCCGCCACACACACCTGGGGAGCTTAAGTGAGTGCCTGGGGGTGCTTGAGTGAGTGCCTGGGGTGCTTAAGTGAGTGCCAGGTGGTGCTTGAGTGAGTGCCTGGGGTGCTTGAGTGAGTGCCAGGTGGTGCTTGAGTGCCTGGGGGGTGCTAGAGTGAGTGCCAGGTGGTGCTTGAGTGCCTGGGGGGTGCTTGAGTGCCAGGTGGTGCTTGAGTGAGTGCCTGGACAAGCGAGCGCTGAGTGGACCAGCAGGTCACCGGGAGGACGGTGCAAGCACGCAGCATGTCCCGTACTTGCACAAGTGCCAAAGCAGCTACTGTAGCCTCTCATAAGGAGTGCCAACCAACCACAAACCTTCAGTGATGGATCAATACAGCCGCTGATCAATAACCAGGCGCCAAGCTGGCCGCGGTACAGCTTAAGTACTCTCCTGCCACCAATCATCTCTAGCCACACACACCCAACCCCTTCTTCTACCACGTCTTATTTCTTACATTATATATGAGACGTGTTGGCAAAAACTAAAGCACCGTAATATTGACGGTATCTGTGCAAGGACACTGGGTCTGCGGGGCGCTCCAAACAACAGTCTGTTGGGTCAAGTTTTCACAAGTCAAATCTGATCCTCAGGTCTGGCTTATAGGGAGTAGACCTGCCAGAATTCATTCCAGATATGATAGGTTCGGTGGGTTGCTTGGGTTCGCACGTTTCTTGCCAGGCAAAACGATTGCATTTTTTACGTAGCGGCCAATAGAGAGAGCGAAGTAACTCACCACTAGTCTACCCCCCCCCCCCCGCCTAACCTCCATCACCATAATATGGTGCTCAACATACTCAGTTTTGTCTGGACTAGAGACACTGACTGAGCACCGCACTCAGCCACCCTTAACCAAGACAGTAAGTCACAATAACGTGACTTACAAATGGTTCGGGGCGGCCCAAAGCGTCGTCAGTTCTTTCTTGTATTTTTATGTGTGAGTGTGTTGGCTGCCTCGCTGTCTCCTCCACCACCAGCGGCAGCAACACACCCCAACATCACCATCTTATATCCACTCATACGTTCACCTTCCAGCTGTATTCGCTGAAAACTACAGCAAAATTCACGAAAAACAAAAATGAGAAAGTATTCACGACTTTCTAGAATTGACCACTACCACCATCTGCCCCTCGACCGATGGTGGTAGTGGTCAGCTGTGGTGACAGTGACCAGCTGTTAACTTCATGAACTTAACAGTATTGCCGTAAAACTAACAAATTCTAATATCAACAAAAAAGGACAAATATTGTGCTGATAACTAGGACAAAAGAACCCCAGAAAGATGTTGAACTGTGTACACTTCGGACGAGCTCTTCGAACAGGAGGACCAGACGTTCCCTGACTTCACCACTTTCAGTCTCCTCCTCCTCCTCATCTCCCTCTTTCTCCTCCTACAACCCCCTCCCTCCTACCTCTACCTCCTCCTACAATCCCTCCCTCCTCCTACAATCCCCTCCCTCCTCCCTCCACCTCTTCCTCCAGGCGGGCCTCCTCGGTCCAGGACGCATCTGTCCTTCCTGTATGGCACATTTCCAGCGCCTCACTCAGCTGGAAATTCGCACTGAAACTCATCCAGCTGCTCCTTTAATTTTAGTTTTACCTACGTTGGCTTAAGTTTCGAGACAGACATGAAAAGCAATTCAAGAGCACTTATTGAGCTCCTCAGGAACTCTTAGTGAGCCCTCCAAGAGCACTTGGACCTAAAACTGCCTTAATAACTGATAATGAAATGTTCTTATTTTCAGAAAAAATATTACGGTTGGTGCCGTACACCTGGGAACTCAGCGGGTGGCGTTCGTGTAAACCAATCAAGGGGGGAGTTGACTTATGACGGATACACCAAGTGTCACCCTACACCCATACTATTTATGTTTCCCTGTACTGTGTGCCTGTTCATCCTCCCCGTACAATCGACTAAAACACCCCACCCACACTCCCAGGGGCTCCATCCACACCCACACTCCCAGGGGCTCCATCCACACCCACACTCCCAGGGTACTCCATCCACACCCACACTCCCAGGGGCTTCATCTACACCCACACACACCCTATACACACTTCCACTGTCCTCTCCAGAGGGAGGCGTGTGAGCAGGCCTGGAGGGGCCGCGACGAGAGGATCAGGTGTCCTAAGATCGCCACCGCAACACTCCCTGAATGGCGGAGAGTGGATTGGTGGAGACTCATAGTTTGAAGTCGTGGCCACAGTGTATCATTGATGAGGTGTGGCCACAGTTT